AAATTTGCAGGATGCGTTTTCAAGTGCAACCGCTCCAATTACGCCAAGTAAGCCGAATACGTACATCGGACGATCGTCAAATCCACCGACCGCGTTTTACTTCCGAATACAGCGGTATAAACCAGCAACGAGTTCTTCAATTTTTTCAATGTCACGGAACACTTTTAATTGTAAGGACAATTTGCGGAGCATAAAAATCAGTAAAGTCACAAAACTAATAACAACATGACGTAAATATGTGATACCGCTTTATATATGTAATATGCACACAAATCTATGCCATTTTGTTGAGGCTACCGAACACTTGTTACGAACCACTGTAAGAGACGTGACAACGACTCACGGAAGTTCACGTAATTTTTTTTACACCAAAGGTGTTTTTGTAAATATAAAGTAATCAACGTATAATGAACATCTCATCCCGTCGCGATCATTAACATTAATGGGGTTCATGCAAGGTCGAGTTAATCGTTCTGGACAGTGACTAAGTTTTTCTCCAATGTCTCGTATCTCATCAACGAATACCGCGCATGTCTAATACAGACAGTTATATTACCGGTTAAGAGACATTTTATTCATTTTGATTTTAACGAAATGTTTTATTTCTCGGTGTATTTTGGTTCACTTGACCAAATTCGTTCCGTTCGATCAACCAAAGTATCTCGGTTAAATCGTTTCGTTAACGTCAGAAAATGTTTTAGCCAATAATCCAAATATTTTGGACAAGTGTATCACGTTACTTTAATATTTGGCACGACATTTCATAATATTTTCTGCAACCAGCCAAGAGTAATTTATCCGAAAATTCTGTCATGTTAACCAAACATCTGGTCATACATATAATATTGAAAACCATATTTTATTATTAAACCACGAACAATTGTATTGATTTATCAAATTTCCTCGTACGCTAAATGATAATATGTGATCATCGGATATAATCGTACTTTGATTTTTAGGTGTCGCAATTTTTTTGGCGAGCAGGGGGTAATACGTATGTCCGTGCACGTGTTCGCGTAGCCCACTGCCGCATCGTTTATTTAACTATTTATCCGAACGTTATTACCGATCGAAGCGACGTCAACGTCGACGCGAAATGTAGTTCGAGTCGCACAATCTCGTTTTGGCGTCGCCCAATTGACGGCCCACGAATGATCGATATCAAAACGTCGCCAGTGAAAACCCGCGCAAGTGCTTTGAGAAACCTGTTCGGAACAATGGCCGGCCGACGAGGCGATTCCGGTGATTTGATTCGCGCGATTACTCACTAATTCGTAGGAAATTGACCGTGCGATTCCGACGGTATCGTCAACGTAATTGGGGGCAGAGATTTTCCAGAGGAAACCGCCAGATGTCGCCGAGGTGATTTTCTGTCTCCGTTCCACGGTACCTTATCTTATCGTAGCGACTCGGATGTTCAAAAGCTAGATAAAAATCGTCACCACGAACGGATCGATCCCCACCAAAAAGCGTTTCAAGAAGCGCGTGTACGACTACGGCACAGCTGATCATGTGGCATCAGCTGTCGCATGTCGCGCGCGTTTTGCATTAAGCCGCGTGCAGACTCGCAATCGCGTCGCGCGACGTTCACGGATCGGAAACGGAGTTCCGTTCTTTACCCCTTAAACTGTCCTACGATAAATGTTTTCTGTACTACTCTATTGAACGAGTCGAATGGCGTTCGTTATTTTTTTCGCCAAATTTTTGTTGGAAAAATGATAGGTAAACGTTAGGATGAAAACCGTTTCTTTCTGAATCGAGTGCATGAAATTACGGGTTTTAGAAAGTACTCAGTTTCCGTTCCTGGTAGAACTCGTCAAAGTTTAAAATTTAATTATCGGATAGCGTTATTCAAGCGAGACGATCGGGACAACGCATAAAAAGATGCATTTTATAGTTGACGCAGCGGGACAAATGTCGAATCAAATGAAGCATTTGATTAAAAATGCGTGACATTTAAATACCGACACTTATTCTCAGAAATCGTGTATTTGTAAATAATTAGTTAAAAGCAGCTCATTAATCGCGGACAGTTTCGATAAATGATATCAACGAAGTCCAGACTCGTTCGAGTACATTTCCATAATGGAAAAAAAAAAGCATTACGATGTATTATGCTTGGTTGAAATGCATTAAAAGTGACATTTCAAAACTGCAAAGAAAAGAGAAATAACGTCTTTCCGGGCAGAAAAGCTCTTTTTATACTTCACGAAGTCGTAGCAATAAACGGTGAAAATGAAGTACGGACCAACACACTTAATGGCAGAGTTCGCGCAAGCTGTGGCGTTTTAAAACCAGCGTATAAACAATTCCACGATTCCCGGTATAATTCCCCACGAGCCGGGAAGATGATTCCATGGGAACGTCAAATAAACATCCCTTAAAACCCATGCGAGTTCCTTCGGGACGTCTAAGGCCTCAAGAGCGGGATAATCCCGGCAGAGCACAGAGGGTTATAACCTAGCGGATACATACATCGGGCATCCGCCATATTGAAAACGTAAAATTCTAAACAACTTTGAACACAAACGCCAAATTATTGTATTATTTGATCAAAATGTTTACGCGTTTACCCGTGTACCAAAAGACGTTTATGGTCCAGTGGATATCGCCCACCTGCGGCATCCTTTGCACTGGAAGCGTAATTTACTGGTTTTCCACGATTCTCGCCGGTAAACTGCCTGGTTTACGTAACAATACGCGAAAAACGGTGAGAAACGGCGAGAAACGCCGAAAAACACAAAATTACCCAACCTCATCGGGAACGAACCTCGGATCCGCTCGGCGGCCGGGAGAGCCAATCGGGAGGGAATTTCCGCTGGACCGGCGCGGCGGCCAATGGGGTGGCCGAATCGTCGCTCCCTCGCTCTCCCGGGCCAACGTGGTAGGCGACGCGCGGCGGCGTCGTCGGACGCCGAGCCCGGGCCCCGTGGAAACTTACACTTGATCAGTACGACTCCGTTGTGCGGCTCGTCCATCGTGTCGCGGAGTCGGGGCGCGGGGCGCAGCGGGAGGCGCCGCTTATAGGTTACGTTCGCGGTCCTCCTTGGAGCGCGTGCGCCGCCTCTCAGGGCGCGCATCCACGCGCGTCGCGGCACTAGGGAGCGGACGTCGCTCGACCGGTCATCCCCGGAGGAGGCCGCGACAAAGGAAGGCTTCCGAGCTCGAGAAACATGGCGCGCGCACTTCCCGCACAGACTTTCGGCCGGTGGCTCGCGGAGCCGTCACGCACTGAGGGAGGTAGCGCGAGACCGCCGGGCCGAAGGCGGAGGGGCGGAGAGGGAAGCGGCGACGACGCGCGTGGAGGGAGCGACCGACCCACGGCCGGCGGGAGCGAGCGAGAGCGCGAGCGTCGCTCCGAGGTTCCGCGAGCGGCCGTCCGACGGCGCTCCCGGCGCGCAGGGCTGGCCTCGTTACGCTGACCTATGCGCCTCTCTCACAGGCACCCGTGCTCATTGTTCTCGGCGCTGCAACCGGATTTCGTGGGCTCCCGTATCTACGCGCAATTTACGCACTCCCGGGGGCGAGCCCGCGCTATCTCGTCGAACGGTCAGGAATCGATCGAGAAAGATCTTTCAAACGAGAATACGACGGGTATTCGGTGAGCGCTTTGACGCGACCGAAAGCGCGTCGAGTCGTCTCATTGATTGACCCCTCGAACGACCGATGGATCGACGGACGAAAAAGCGAACCCCAAACGACGATTTAGGAAATTCCGTGCGAAGTGACGTTCCGACTAACCGAAAACACCGAGGAAATCACCGTAGAATCCAAGTGTCAAAGGGAAAGGAAACGGCACCTCTGTGGTGCCATTTGGCTACGATCGACCCCTGACCGCGATAAATCGCCCTCGGCTCTCCGCGATCGGTCACAGTGGGGACTCTTGCGAACGGGGAAGAAGCGTGACCCACTGAACCGTTGATCTACCCGTGACAATTTCCGTACACTCGGAAATCGATGAGACGTTAGGGCAGGTCGGGGCCCTTCGAGCCCTCGCGACCGCCCCTGCCTCGGCAGGGACGCGCCGCATGGTCGCAAGAGCGAGAGGGGGCGAGTCCGGGCAAAAGGCTAGAGAGAGACGGAACGAGAGAATTCTTCGGAGCGGGGGTAGGACGGCGTCCGTGGACTCGTCCTCTCGGGGACTCGCGAGAGGATTACTCGACGCTCTTGAAAATGCTTCGACGTTTTGAACGCTTTCGAACGGAAATGTCCGCGTAAGATCTCTCCTACGCGAAGAAACAACGAAAGGAATATTCATTCTCGAGGAACAAAAACGCGGCCTCTAGTCGAGTGTTTTGTGGGCTTTTTCAATCTAACAGCCTGCACCCTGGCCGATTCCACAGGTTCAAGTGGTTTTTGCGGCCACGTGAACGCAGAGGGGACTAAATCGAAGGGAGGGATAATCAAGAGGGTGTAACCGCGTTTATGGTGGGGTCATGGGACGATGAAAAGCCCGGAGGACAAGGACCTGTGTACCCTAAGGATCTCATTCGTACATATGTCGATTTACGAACTTCTGCCTTTCTACCCGCAAGTTGACTCAAATTCAAACTTAACAAACGTTTCTTGTACGTACGTACGTACTTATCCTGATATATAAAGACATAATATCGTAACTTTGCGTATTCGTAGTTTTTCGAAATATTATCTATTGTACATCTACTGGGTCGATTACGGTCGAAATTTTTGATTACCCCATCACGTCGCGTAGCTTATCGACGAACAAAAATGTTAGTTATTTCGGTAGGCTCGGAGCATTAGCAAAAAATGTCCAGATTGCCCCAAGTTCCGCCCAGAAAGTAAGTTTGTCGCTCGATTTGCAACTATTTCGAGCGAATAGGCTTAAAGCATAGGAAAAAGATGTTTGTATTCCGTGAAGTGGTAAAAGTCGCTTCGCCGGGCTTAGAAAAGGTCGCGAAGCGAGTCGCGAGGGTCCAGGAATAGTTGGAGAACCTGATCCATGGGATGGACGCCGAAGGTGCACAGGAGGTGAGCACGAGTATCTGCCCGAGCGAAATACGATGCCTTTCGGAAGTTCACGTAATTCACGTTTGTACCTTCAATTGAGCTCGAGGACAAAGAGCGATAGACGATCCGCCCGTTTTTCCCCGCATGCGAATCATTATTCACGCCCGAATGCCCCGATGTCCCTGCGTTTTACATTCCGCCAATTTTCTTGACGCAAGTGTACGCAAATCTGGGACTGAGCCGCGTCACTTCCTTGGGCTTCCGTGAATTCAATTACCGCGTTCGTTCGCGAAAAAAAAACTCACGGCGTCGATACGCCTTATTTAAAATTTCATCGAAATTGATTAGAAATAAAAACGTCATTCGAGTTTACAAAAGTAACGGATACCAAAGGAAAAGAGGTGGCCGATAACGCGAGCGTGGGCGAAGTTTCTCGTTTCTCGTTTCCCTCGTAGATGGCGTCCCGTTCCCTCGCGGGCGGCCGCGGCGCAAAGATGGCGGCGCGGTTACGCTTTCGTTCCCTGTCATCTGGCGCTCTACCAATGGGTTCGCGTAAGGGCCCCCACCCTGGAGCCGCCGCCTCGTCGGAGAGTGCACTCTTATCCCCTCTTATTTCGGCGCGAGGACTGAAACGAGGTCTACATTTTAGTACGCATTAGAGTCCCGAACATGATAAGTTTTCGTATCGCGGGCACGGGGGATGACGCAAGTGTACTATCACCAAACCAAGTTCCGATGTGAGTTGCCAGTCCCCGCGGACGCGGATCTCTCCGTCTCTCGCGGCCCACCCGTTGCTCCCCTTGCGCGTCGTTGGCTTATCCCACTTACGCGCGGACGGGCGACGATCGAACCTAAATAGCGATTTTCTAACGCTGTCGTTTCTCTCCTCATGTTGGACTCCGCACCGCGGCGCAGGGACGGAGCATCTGACGTGCCGCTTCATTCAGCTCAGGAAGGAACATGGGAAGCTCTTCACCGGGCGCAAGTACTCGGCGCAGGCGGGATGGGAGTAAGTAACTCGCGAGCGTCTTGAACGCGACTCGCGGGGGAAACGCGCATCGATCGCGCCGAGCGCCCGCTGCCCCCGCCGCCCCCGCTGTCCCCGCGACCCAACGGCCGCCAAGGTATACATTTCGAAAATTCTCAGTAACATCAAATTGGAAAACGTACCGCAAGTTACCGAGAATATCGACAATTTATCGTATGAAAGGCGCTGGGAAATTTAATCGACGTCGATAAATTAAAGTTCATCTGTACCCTTTTTGATGGTAACGCCGTTTTGAATACACAAGTGGTAACATAGGCTGGCGCGTCATGTTACCGACATTTATATTCGCGTTGAAGTCTGTTACCCTCTACGTTGAGAATTATACGAAATGAAAAGTTTCTTCCGCCGTTTTAGTCAAGTAATGGTAAAGAGATCGATGTAAAACTGTCGATATGCCGTGGATTACTGATTTTTGCGACACTACCGGGCCAACGGCGCCATCTGTGACGTTTAGCTGCAATTAAATTTTTGCTCCAAAAACCCGCGTTACCCCCGGGACGAGTAGGCATTCTCTTGCAATCGTTGGTGACAGTATTTTCAATATTTTCCCATCTTCCTACCCGCGCATCCGTTCTTGCCTTAGAAAATCGAACTCCGCGTTTTCTTGCGCATTTCCTAAGGGGAGCGGAGTCGTTATTCGTGGTCGTTGCCTACATCGAAGCGGCACGATTTTTCATATGCCGCATTCCGCGGCAAGTAAATGCCGGTAAAGCAGCTAACGGCGAGGAGCAACGGCGTCCGAGTATTGCCGATGCGAGGAGAATTTCGCGCGGAACGAAAAGGAAAGAAGATCCTCCTTCTACCTCCGTGAATCGCGCTCGAAGTCGAGGAATGAAACCCGCGTTTCTAGGGGAAAAATGGCTAAGTAAGCCGTTTCTCTTATCGTCCGCCTCGAGCTGCACCCAGCGGTCTGCACCGAGCGAAAAATTTACTGTCCAGGCGAGATTCATTCTGATCTATTATGTTCATTTTTTAGGTACATTCTGCGTCAGATGCGACAGGAGTTTCCAACCATTATGGCTGACGTTCACTATCGAGTGCTAAAGAAGAAATGGTCGAACCTGTTACAACAGTATAAAGTAAGGAGTAGGAAGTAATCGGGTGGTCTTTACGTCCGTCGATTTGCCACCCCACGCAAAACTCTTATTAGATATAGATTTCCATTACGTTCACGATGCATATATTCTTTTCAACTCGGCAATTGCGTAAACTGGACGTTCCTCGCAAGACGAAAGGGAGAAAGCGTGCTTAAAATCTGCTTTAATTTCACGACTAGGATTTTACGATCGGAACGTTTCAGCAACTTATGACATAAGCGAAATTATGATGTATCGTAAAAACGGCAGTAGCTTTCGTCACGACAAGCAGAAGCAATTTCGGAAGTCTAATTTCCTAAAGAATGGACTCGAACGAATAACCTGGATGTGGTTAACATTTTTCGGATTTACCCTGACAAGTCGAAAAACAATCGATAGGGCGAGCCTTTCCGTTTAGAACTTCATCTGGACTTCTTGACGTATCTTAATACGGTGATCGAAATTTCAAAACGGTCAAAGGAAAAAAAGTGCGGCAGACGAATATTTGAAAACGTCAGAGTTAATCGAATTTCAACGAAAAGTAGGAAATCGTTAATTACAAGCTCCAGAAATTAAGATTTCGTAAAACGCAATTAATTTTTCCTCACCTTAAGGTGACGCGAAAGTGGCGTCAAAAAGCCGAATCGATTCAAACTTTACAATTTAAATATTGAGGATATAAGGAAGGTCCTAAAACTCATGAAATTTGAATTTTTAAAAAATTTGTTCATACATATTTGTAGGAACTGAAGAACCCGGTACACGGCGACAAGAACAAGGCCGACGACGTGTCATGGCCGTTTTACAGTGCCATCGACGAAGTGTTGGGCTACTCGCAGCGCGAAAACGAGGAGGATGTAAATCCTCAGGAATTCCTTTACGTGTCGGTCATGCCGGAAGATGTCGGATCGCCGGAAGACGAGACTCGTCCCGGCTTCCAGGTTGACGGTGATTTAAAGGATGCGCAATCGGTAGCGGCTCTTCAACGCGTACAGCCCTTCAAGAAGGAAACCACGGACGAGCTGGAGAGGCTACCGCCTTCCCCAAAGTCTCCGAAGTTTCACTCCAACTTTGGAAGGTTTATATTTTACCCCGATACCAGATACTATTGGGTTGGCAACTAAATGACTGCGGATTTTGTCGTTAGATAGTATTAAAAAATAAGTTTCATTCGAAGAAATCGTTATCTCAGGGTAGGACCAAACATCCACGATGCCGACAGATCGGTAACGACACGACGGAACGGTATTAATTGGATTTTACGTAACGTCAATATACTTTTGAATAATTTTCGTTACGTATTACATTGTACCGGTGTTACCTAGCCACGACATACAGAGTGCTCGGCAGGATCGTAATCGATAAATTTGACGATCGTTTTCACAGGCACGACGGCGCGACAGCGGCCAAGAAACGTGACATCAACGGCAGGATAATACCTCCACGAGCGACACGCAACGCGGAGTTGACCATCAAAGCGATCCAGCCGTCGATCGTGGTGAAGGACATCTCGAAGCTGAGAAGCAGAAACGAGAACCCGCGAGAGGAAGAGTCCCGCGAGCTCGGCAAGGACGAGAGGCCGAGCAAGCTGCGAAGGACGAGGAGAGCCGAGGAGCAGGACGAGAGGGACCGCTCGGGCGTCGAGCGTCGTCTGGACGAGTTCCTCGAGTACACCAGGCGACGCGACGAGGAGAACAGGTCGATCATGATGCGCATTCTACAAGCCGTCGAGACGATCGCCGACAAACTCCAATGACGGCGACGACGACGACGACGATAGAGCGGCTTCTTTCTTCGCGCCTCGTCGAGATCATCGGAGGACGCGGGAGGAGGCCAAACGAGGCGAGGGGGTATTCACTAAGTTCAGAGAAAAAGTTAATTTTATTGTAAAAAGTATCCAAGTCCTTTTTGAACTATGAAAACTAGTTAAAGGATAGTTCATTTACTTAGATTTTTCTCTCAGTGCGAACAAAAGTCGGGCGGAGAGGAGGAATTGTATTATTTACAACGAAAGATGTTTAATGGCGCGCCTTCCAGGTCGGCGAGCTCGGTTAATGAATGTTTTATGACTCCGCTCGTTGTTGCGACGAGTTTAGAAACTCTACGTCTTGTCGGAGTCTCGCAACGAGACGGCTGCAATTTCAATGCGTTTCGTTGATCGGGTCACCGGTTAATTAAACCGCGCGTAAAACCTGTTACGAGTCACCGAGCACTTTTGTCTTTCGCGGGTAAATCGAGGCTCGAGAGTACAATCTGCAATTTCGTTCTCATGGGTTTCTTTGAATCCTATTTTACGTTCGAACCGTTTACGTTTCATGTCAATCGTATCCTGCGATGCTCTTCGTTTAAAGCCCACCTTCTCGTGTCTTAGCGTAAATTTCAAAGCGTTTCGAAACCCAAACAAAATGACGCGGAACGAGCGGGGGCGGATGCCGCTTTCACATCCCCTTAATAGATTTTACAAGTTTGCGGGAACGTACCCTTAACTTAACGTTTATTCGCGTATCGAACCGTTATTGCATTTAACCCTTTAATCACGAAACGCCACTACTATAAAATGGCACTCCGCGGCCGAGCTATTCGTACAGGTGGGACATCTCCGCGTACGACTCCGCCATAGTTAAAGGGTTAATACGCGTAACGACGGAACGAAACTCTAGCACAACGAACATACCGTAATGCCATAAACTCGGAAGTACGTAACGGTATTTGACGAGGGTCAAAAGTTCGTATTTCGGTAGAAAATAGCTGAAAGTAAGTTACCGATGGCGGTACCGCGTCGTTCACGGTTCACCTAAACCTGACCACATTTGCAACACCAAGACCAAACCCGACCACGGCCGATTGCTCGGCACCGGGTGTTCATAGAGTGGAAAAAAAAATGTCCGACTCCGTTCACGGAACGGAGCTCCTTTTCTACAAGGCGCCGAGACCGATCCGATCCTTTCGATCGACTCGAGCTCCTCCTTAAACGTTTCCCCCCGACGTCCGTGCCGTGCGAACGATCGTCGGAGCCTAAAAGCACCTCTGACAAGAGTGACTCGGGGAAATCGGCGTCCGCCGGTCTCCGAGAGGGCGCATCGCCTCTGAAAGGAGCCGGGGACGAACGGGAGAACGAAACGTAGCCGAGGAGCGGCGAAAAAGGAACAGCGAACGGGAAAGGAAGAAAAAGAAGAGGGCCGTGCATGTGCACGTGGCTCGCATCTGCCTCTCCACCGAGTGACCCAGGGCTGACCCTTCCCAAGTACCAATAATTAACCGCGCTCGGTGCCCGACGGGCCGAGCTCGCGGTAGACGCGCGATTACGTCACCGGGAAAGAACCGCGGAGTCGCCGTCGATAAGGCGGAGCGCGCCCCGGCCGGTAAGAACGGGCTCCGTCGGCGCGGGACGTCCGACTAATTTCCGTCTCGAAATTTCTCGGTAACGTAAAATTGAAGAAGGTAACCGGGCAAGATACCGTATGTTACCGAGAATATCAAGAATTTATGAGAACGTTCATTTTCTTATCTATACTTTCGGTTTCTTCGTTTAAATAACATTTCCTTTCGATAAACTTCGGAGTTCAAGTTAAAGAGGAATGGATATTGAGAAAAAATAATAATTTCGTTATAAACGGCTAGATATGCGGGATTCCTGAAAGGTCTGGCGTTAAGGCTTCGGCACGTACTTCGCGTAACGGGAACGGTAATCGTCCCGGCAAGAACTGACCAATAAAGTAACGAACACGGAATGCCGAATTACATTTTCTGTAATTCGATTGGCCGGTTTTTCCTGCTGCGAGCACGGTGGCCGTTACGCGGGGTATTCGTAAAGGCCTCCGAAGGTATAAAAATTGACGTCATCTCCATCATCATGGCATAATTCCGATTCGTCGATGCAACGAGTTAACAATGAAATATGTATCGGAAGTTCACCTCGATATACGGATTCCCTTGGATACGGAAGACGAAGAGTTACCGTCGAGTTTTGCGCGACGTTCGCTGGACATCGGTCTCCTTTTTTGCGATAACGGTCCCATTGTTAGGGCAAATCCCCTGGCACGTCCCATTCCGCCCGCGACGAAGAAGCACGCGAAGTCGACCGCGCCAACGAGACGGCAACAATAAGAAGCGTCGATTCTCAGTCTCCCTCTCTCTCTCCTCGAAATTCAGTCCAGGGTGAAAGGTTTCATTTGCGCTAACTCGTCAACGTGTCACGCCATAAAAAAAACATTCGAGAGGGGGCCGACGACTCAAGGTGCATCAAATTCCATCAGTTGACTCGATTTGTCTCGATACGTCTCTCTGTTTCTTTTCGCGTCACGAGGAGAGGACGCGGATTCCATTGGGGAAGGCGATTGATTGGCTGTGCTTCGATTAGTTATTACAGGGGAATTATACCCTGCAAGAAGAAATAGTACAGGACTTTTCGACTCCTTTTTCAAAAAGAATAGCACCGTATAAACCGTGTCCGTCGTTTCCGTTACATCCTGTATAGCAGAGGTACAGCAAATAGAAATACCAATAGTAAAATACTGATTGGTTATTTTTATTAAGGTACATCATCCCCACCTTACGCGCCGTGCTATTTTTTTAGCCCTACGTTCGCCGATTTAACATACGAGAATGCTCAGCTTGTGTCCAACAATTGAGAGAATGGTACTTGGAAGAAAATGTTGCACAATGATTCGTCGACAACACATTCCGGGTGGACGAAAGCGCTCGCCATAAACCGCTGGTATTTTCTAATTGGTTCAATAATTACTACAACCACCACAGTTGAGCAACCATTCGCCATTTCAATGAGATGAAAATTGAGTAATGGTCGAGCTTTTGGGAAAGAGAAACCGATAGAAACGGAGCTTTACCCGCTGCGTTAAAACGAATATGATAATTTTCTAACATTTTTGTTGGAAACCTTCCTCGAACGAACATCTTTGATGTCCCAATTTCAGAGTAAACTTTTTTAAACGGTTCGTCGACAATTGCAATACGTCCACTCTGAACGAACTCTAACGTTGCGCAGCTGTTAGCGAACACTGTTAGCTCTATAACGTGACTCCCCCTGGAGGATAATTAACCGACAGTCGAGGTTGCGCTCCGTATTTCATTAATTCCGTGGCGCAGTGGCTTAGCTCGATTCTCGGTAGAGGATCGATATCTCGACGGAGATTATCGACGATTGTGTCGCGGATGCGAGTGCTTAACCCCACTTAACGAAAGATCCGTGACGCGAGTTCAGCGCCGGAAGTTAACGTCCGTTAAGGGAATAAGAACGTAGCATCAAAGAAGTTTTCTTACCCTAATCATGGTTTCTGTTAACCCTGGGATGGACCATTAAAATATCACGAACAATTACGACCGAATTCCAGTATCGTTCATAACGTGTCTGTAATAAATTAGCAATCCGAGATGGCAAACTTAGTAAACGAAAATAAAAATTGGGACTCACCAGTCTTGTTGACGCTGGATCCAAAGGAGTGCAGCTTTTTCCAGCCTTTCCAGCCTTTCTTCAGCAACAACGCAGCTTTCGTCTTTCGTTGACCATTACTGCTGCTAACGTCCATTCTGTTCGTCTTACTAAGCCCTCTTCTTAGAGATCCTAATCCAGACCTAAAAATAAATTATAAACGTTAACGTCTTTGATTAAGATCGATAAAGTCTCAATTATATTAAGCGGTTAACGCGAATAACCGCATTTGTTATATTACTTCAATGTTACCTCTTTCCGACCGATCTTCACGAACTCGATTTTCACATAAGGTAATGTCCGCAAATCTAGCGTTAAATTCGCACCCGCGCTACGCGATATGGGGAAAAACATACTTCCGTATAACTAATCCAGAAAATAGTAAAGGCACCCCAATTAGGTTTAAATTTTGTCCCCGTCCATCGCTGTTTGAATTAAAGAAGCATAATCTGCATCGTCCGGATAGAAATATCAAAAGCGCGAAGGATCGGCCAAGTGATCGAGTTTTGGACAAACCAAGTGAAAAAAAAAAAGAAGAACGCAAACGAGGCATAGCCGGCAAATGAGTACTTTGATCTCCCGTAGAATTAGGTCCCGCACGGTAACCAATTGACGTCCGACAGGATGACTATCTTTCCTTTCACTCCGTAATTTTGAGAGCCCTAAAGACCCCGAAAGTCCCAGACCCCTAACGACGCTCGCAACAAAAGACCTAGCCGTTCCTCGAAGGATATCCCGAGATCTACCCTGGACCTCGTAACTCCTCTCGGCAAATTGAACGGTGTCGTTGTTTACACTCCCAGAGATCCGGTCGATATCAAGGCCCCTTAAAGCGTCGAAACGTTTTCTAATGCTCATAGGGAATTGCGAAACCTTTTCCCAAATAAGATCTTCGAGCCTGATATAGAATTCCAATTATACGGAGGTGGAATCCAGCTAACTTCACCGGGACGCACCTGTAGCTGGCACTGGAACTCCCGCTGAAGCCGCTGTCTAGGTCGCAGCCGACGGGGGAGAGCAGCTCGTCGGTCGGACTGACCGCTGAAAGCAGCTCCTCGGTGGACGCAACTCGATCACCGTCTTCACCCTCGTTTCCGTTGCCGTCCGACACGGTCGGCATCAGCATGGCTTCCACGCTCAGATTCAGTTCCCCCAGGACTCTGCGATGCCTCGATTGCACCCTGCGAACTTCTTCCGCCACCAACGATCGACGAGACTCGTGCAGCGCTCGTCGACATTGCCTGCTGTGGGAACAAAGGGCGCGCCGTTACTTATCGTAATCGTCCTTGTCGGAACGAGGCTGTTCCCGCGGATTTTCTTCCATAAGGAGCCCAGATGGACAAGGTGGTGCAAAATTTCCATGATAGAAGAAACATGATTTCGACTCGAAATAGGTTTATATTGCGGTAGAAGAAATATCACGATTCTAGCGGACTCTGATACGAACGGATTGCGTTCAATGTCAAGTCCCGGTTAATTTTCGAATCAGCGAGCGATCCGGCGAACCGACCGTTGAGTGGATAATCTCTGAATTAGCCCAAGTTCAACGATAAAGTTCAGGGATGGACGATAATGGTGACAATTTCATATCATCCGCGTTATTGGGTCCTTTGACCCCACAGAGCGGAACACGGTAGTCCTTAATATCCGGACGAAGCTGAACCGTTGAAGTGGCGAAATTGGATCGCCGGAACAAATGACTTATCGTCGACGATCCGGTACGTTTCGTCGCCAGGTTATATCGCCGCCCTGATCTGTATACTACCTGGACAGCCGATACCTATTTGTTCCATACGGAGAGGACTTCGGCGAATTCAAGACACGCCAACTACATATGGGTATCGATACTAAATAAGTAACGGGGGCGCAGGAGCAAAAGTTTGGAACCGTCGATCCGTCAATCGCGGTAATATCAAATGTTTAACTGCCACTTCGCGAAGGTAAACGGTTAATTGTAACAGTAAATGACCGAAGTTGCTGGGAATTTGTCATCGCTCCTGACGTAACCTATCGCATTTAGAGGTCCGGACCCTTTGG